GAGTTGAGTTTTTACCAAAAAGTTCATCTGACCACATGATGTTCTCCCAGTCCTCTTCTGGATCATCCATATGCTCTCTGGCAAACTTCAGACGGGCCTGGACATGTACTGGCTTAAGCAGGGGGACACGCCTGGCACTGCAGGATTTGAGTCCCTCTCGGCGTAGTGTGTTACTGATGGTAGCCTTTGTTACTTTGGTCCCAGCTCTCTGCAGGTCATTCATCAGGTCCCTCCGTGTAGTTCTGGGATTTTTGCTCACCGTTTTCATGATCATTTTGACCCCACGGGATGAGATCTTGCATGGGGCCCCAGATCGAGGGAGATTATCAATGGTCTTGTATGTCTTCCATTTTCTTACAATTGCTCCCACAGTTGATTTATTCACACCAACCTGCTTGCCTATTGTAGATTCACTCCTCCCAGCCTGGTGCAGGTCTACAATTTTCTTCCTGGTGTCCTTCGACAGCTCTTTGGTCTTGGCCATGGTTGAGTTTGGAGTCTGACTGTCTGAGGCTGTGGACAGGTGTCTTTTATACAGATAACGAGGTCAAACAGGTGCCATTAATACAGGTGAGGGAGTGGAGGACAGAAGAGCTTCTTAAAGAAGAAGTTACAGGTCTGTGAGAGCCAGAAATCTTGCTTGTTTGTGGGTGACCAAATACTTATTTTCCACCATAATTTACAAATAAATTCTTTAAAAATCCTACAAAGTGATTTCCTGGATTTTTTTTCTCATTTTGTCTCTCATAGTTGAAGTGTACCTATGATGAAAATTACAGACCTCTCTCATCTTTCTAAGTAGGAGAACTTGCACAATCAGTGGCTGACTAAATACTTTTTTGCCCCACTGTAGATGAGCTTGTCTAGCTTGGTGGTTCTTAGTCCTGGTCCTGGACCTTTTGCTCCCAAGACACCTGATCCAAGAATGAACTAATTAAGAAGCTTGCTGAGGTGAACTGGATTAGAAACAGGGGGAAAACTACAAAATGCATGACAGTGATTCTCCAGAGCCAGGACTGACAACCAATGGTCTGGCCTACTGAACTCTACTGGAGAAGATGATGTCTGTAAAACATCTCAGTACAAAAGAAGTGTTATAGCCTATTAATAAACATTCAGTCTCTGAGACATTTTCCCATTTTAGTCATTGTAGTGATTTTTTTTTATTTATTTAAGCAATAAGAGCTTAATAAGACTCTTAAAAAGAGTTTAATAGGGAATTTCACTGATTTTTCCAAATTCCTGCATAATAAATGTTTAAAACAAGTTGTTCTAAAGAAACTTACCGAGTCAGAGCTGTTCACAACGGTGGTGATAGGAACCAGACGTCCACCTCTAAAAGCTCCCTCACAGAAAGTTACTACATGAAATGGCTATGAATTCACTGCCTGATGTTTGTTTGTTGATGATGTTGTTTTATGATAGTTTTGAGAAGATTTTGGTTTAAAACATATTATTAATATCCATTCATTGTAGAGCGAAACGTGAAGGGTACTCTGTGTCAAAGTAGTCCCCAAGAAAAACTCAGATTTTCCACTATTTTCCATCATCAATGTTTCATATGAAACTCAGAAAACACGTGTAGGTTCACTGATGGTTTTGGATAGTAAATAAAATGACTGTATTTGTGTTGTAGTCATGATAACCCCTGGTCCCTATCACCACCACTGTAGAGACATCTGAATCTCTACAATTAAGCATTTCACATCAAACCACTCTGAATGACGGAGTAGGTCTGACCCACTTTTTCAAAATCATTGCTGAATTCTACTTTCACTCATTTCTAGCAGAGGAAAAGAAAGTGACTTACCATCAGTCATGTTGGTGATGGAATAGTAATATAAATCCAACAAGAAGTTTTCAAGGTTAAACCCAAAGGTGTGGATGTAGAAGAGTGAGACTTTCGCTCTCTGCTTCTGTTCAGTAAAGTCTGAAGGCTGACAGCATCGTTTCTTCGTCTTCACTGATTCCAGGAACGTGCATGTGCATTCTTGTTCAGTTTGTGTATGCCATGCCCATTTCCAGAGAAGAGAGCTTTCTCATGATGTGGGTTGTTGCCGTTAATCACACGCAAGTAGGAGGAGTTGGAGGGAAAATAACAAAAAGCCTGGGCTTTAAGGTTAATGGACGTAATGTAGTGATGTAATCTCACAATTATCTCTTATAGCTGATTATGATAGCATTTGATCGATATAACAGTTGTCATTGTGGACATAATATTGATACACCACCAGTCAGCGTTGTAATGACTGCAGTGCTTGTAGAGCTGTGTTAGTTAATAAAGCATCCTGACTGATAACATATAGCCACGGTGTGCTGTGTGCTTCATGGCTATAGTAACAACAGCAACAATACTGTAAGCTTTTATACCATCCTGGCTGCAGAGGCGTAGCCAGAACCTTTTTGTTGATTGTTAGAACCAAGTTAGATCCAGTGATTTTATTGGGGTGGCAAACTGTTAACTGAAAAAAACCCTAATATTATGAAAAAATATTTGTTTGGGGAACTACAGCAACCTATAAATAGCACTGGAACCACCAACACATGTATGTACCCAGCTCTAAAATGCATTTAGATTATATGATAAATGATAGATGTAACTGTACCATAGTAAATGTTACGAGCTATCAATTTGATGGTTACTTCATCCGTCATTCGTTCATACATCATGTGAATAACATGTGTTTTGTTCCCTCTTGTAATGTGACAAAACCAACCAGCCATCCTAGGCTGAGGAGCTGAGCCAGCCAAGGAGAAATCTTCAACAGAGAGAATAAACAGAAGAAACTTTCAGGATCTCACCATAATGCTGCCAGAGTCTGCTCTGAACAGTCGGTCACAGCTAGACGTTACGAGAGGGAAGATTTCTGGAGTTTTGCTCATTTTCTAGTTGAGAATTGTTCAGGATTGATAATTGACCTTTGGAATTGAACTATTTATGTCTAGATTTCTTCTACTTTAATGACACAAGGAATGCAGTTAACATCAGAACATTAGCAGGGCTCATGTAACTTCCAATCAAACGCAGATATGCAGCTGTTACTCACTCTGGCGATCCAGATGGCATTTGATGGTGTAGTTGATGGTAAAGAAAGAATATTGCTGACCCTTCCACAGACTAAACAATCATATGAATCTAGTCATTTGTACATGTTTAACTCCTATGCTGTGCATGCTGATGCAGTATCTAAGCTAATTATAAATGACTGCATATGTTATCTTGGACAGTAACGTGTAATTGGGATTCTAAGATAAATTATTGATTTGGTACTAGTCAGCCCCTCTGATCATATCTCGATTTGGAAGCCACAGCTGGCACTGAATGCTCATATACATTATGTTGATGGAATGTCAACAATATGGCCACCGGATGCTTCTTCTTGGTTTTGTGAATACAATCTATAGTTACTAAAGTGTCTGATACTGCAGTTCAGAATGAATTTACTAATTGGGTGATTCTACAATTGGGCTGCCATTTGTGTCCCAGTGAATGTAAATTCAGTAGTATGTATGAAAAGTAAAGATAAAGACATTGTAAACAGGTAAAGTTACTTTTACAGCAACATATGTGCATCTTTCAGATAAATAAGGAAAACAGTCCATCATAGCTACACTTTACTTTCATAACCTTATAATCATTGAAGTATTTCAAAAATCATTCATTTTCATTAATATGTGAAACATACTGTTTCATGGGTCATTCATTATAGCTTTTGCTAATCCCTTAATATTCACTCAACCCTGTTACCTCTCACTCACATTCATCAGAAATGTCTCAAAATCACGTTTACCAGTAAGCAGCATCATTCGAACTTTCTTAAGATGATGTAAAGAAGTAAAGTTCTGCTGTTTTTCTTTATTTTCAGTGATATTGTAATACGGATATGATCATCTTGAAAGTACAGCAGCGCTACCTAAATTATGGATAGAAAATACATAATTTGCGAAAAACATTTTATTTGCAGCATTGTAGTTTGTAGTTTTATTATTATTACATGAAAACATGACACTTACAAGGATGAACAATATGAAGCACTAGAACTTATAGATAACAAGGTGGTGCTTTGAACTGCAGCTGTTCATCTTCTATATCTGTCACAGGAAATGAACACGGAAATTCCTGGTGGACGAGATTGCCCCACTGGCAATCCAGGAGATGTCGTGGTTGAGGTCACATTTTTCCTAGTTATTTCATTCCACAAATACATCCCCAACTGTGCCTCTGTTTTAGTGCTGCCTGCTCCCCAGCAACCTCCTTATTTCATGCTGGTTTGGTCAGTAATCTCAGTATCAGTTTAATCTTATCTGGAAGTATCAGCATTTTGGCTTTGAGCTGGGGGAAAGCATCCTAATCATTTACCTGGCTTTTTACAGTCCCACGGCAAGCTGAGACAGTGTGGACCATATGGATTGGTCCTTGTTAGAAGGGTCTTGTGCCTTGTATATATTTTAATTAGTGTATATAATGTACATATGGTACATATATGTAATAAGGCTGTGATTGTGATTTCTGCTGTGATTTCAGTCGAATCTGCGTGACCTTCGAGCCCTCAAACAGCATTGCACGAGAAACCATCATGCTACTGTGGTAAATATAACCACGCTGGCTCAGAAGGACTTGTCTGGAAAATAGTTGTCACTTAACAGAGTCTACATCAAGAAATGAAATTCAAAACTCCAATCCATATATCAGTTCAATGCAGAAACGCTGCCAAGTCCTCTGGGCCCAAACTCATCTCAGATGGTTCGAAAGACAGTTGTAGATTTCATACACAAGTAGATTTGATAGTGCCCTGCCATGTGGTCACCACAGTCACTCCATATTCAGACAACAGCCTCAAAATAAACATGGCACAAAACTCACGGTAACCATCATAGAAGTGTCGATATGCAGTGGGATTTTCTCAATTTTTTCAAATTATTTTCTCAATTTTTCTTTAGTCCACCAATGTTTAAGATTTTATATAATGTGAGGCCTTTCCACCTATTAAATGCTAGTTTTAGGCTGAAGCTTTAAGCTTTGCATTTTCTTGCTCAACAGATGCATTTAGAGAATCTTTAATGGGTTCTTTTGGATTTTACACTGTAGGCGTGGATGTCGATGTTGTGCTTTTTGGAGGGGTTGGGCTTTCTTTCAATGTTTTTACAGGTCTGAAAGAAACTCTTATCAATTTGCCTGTGTGCTCATTGTGACAGATCAGGGCATTTCTTACAAGTTTTCTAAACTCCTCTGAGATATAATAGTACACAAACGGGTCCAGGCAGCTGTTCAGACTACCCAGACACAGAGCAACCATGTAGAAACCATACACATAATTCTGAAGCCCTGCACCCAGCAGAGAGTAATGCACCATCAGCATAATGTTACTGGGAGTGAAGCAGACCAGGAACATCACCAGCACAGTGACCATGAGGATTATAGCCTTCCTTTTCTTCTTATTACTGCTGGCATCTGTTACGGACCTGCTGAGGGAGCGAAAGGTCAGTAGGTATGACATAGTACAGACCACACAGGGAACTACATATCCCACAGTGCCCATGGTCAGGAAATATCCAACAGGGAAGTGTGTATGGTTGGAGCGAGTGATGTCATGGCAGGCGGTTGTATTGAGATTACTGACTTTAACCGTCTGGTCATACAGGTATAGCGGTACAGTGATGAGCCAGACTACAACCCACACACAAACACATATGCAGACTGTTTCCCGGCTGTTTGGTTTCTGAGAAAGTGGGTGCACTACTGTCCAGTAGCGCAGCACACTGATGCATGTTATGAAGATAGTGGAGCAGTACATATTCCCATAGAAAAACCCCACTAGGACTTTACACAGTGGCTCCCCATAGACCCAGTCATTGCCGTTGAAGTGGTAGGCGATCTTCACTGGGAGCCACACGATGAAGAGCAGGTCAGCCAGTGCTAGATTGACCATCAGGATGGATGTGGGATTCTTCTTCTTTGTCCTGAAGAGGAACACCCAGATGGCCATGGTGTTGCTGGGCAACCCCACAATGAAGATGATGATGTAAACGAGAGGGAGGAAGACTGTGGTCTGACGGCTCTTCAGAAGACTGGCGGAAATGTTGGTCACATTCACATCATCTTCAGTCTCGCTCTCTATTGGAAATCCAGCAAACGTGATTTCAGTGAAATTTTCTGTATTGAGAGAAAGAAGACTGGTTTAGTTGAAGGCCATGTTTCTGTACAGGTTTTACAAATCTGTGATTATATTTGATGTATGACATGAAAACGATACACTTCTAAATAGTTGAAGCTCTACACCAAATATAATTCCAGTGTAAGGGCTGACAGTTTGACCATTTACCACAACATGAAACATTTGAAACATAAAACAAAATAAACAGCAGAGGGAGTCTTAAATATTTTGTCATACACACACTATATAAGTCTCAAGGCTGTTTTAGTTCTACTGTTCTTAAAAGTTCTTAGCAAAATCTTAACGTTATGGAGTCCTGGAAATGAAATAACATTACTCAATAATAATTAAATACTAGCAAATGAGATAATTACTGAATGACAAACATATGCTATATATGTGGGTGTATATATATATATATATATATATATATATATATGTATACACCTATGTAGCCTGGGTGCTCAAATTAGCAGAGCATTTACATGCACTTAATAATCAGATTATTATGGGTTTTCTGCAATTTTATGATAATTCAAATTATCATGTAAACAGCATACTCCAATCAGAGTAAGGCCTAGACGTTTGTTTAAGAATTCAGAAAATGAGTGCATTTACATGCACTTAATAATCTAATAACTGAAGAAAATCAGATTGTAAGACTGACAAAATCTGTTTTCTTCAACTACTGTATTATTAAGTGCATGTAAACATGTAAACTCTATGTAACATAACAGTTTAAAAGAATGATTTAAGGCAACATCAGATGTACAGTTTTTTCCACATTAACAGCACTCAATCAGATTTGTCCACACTTTGCATATTTAGCTATAAACTGGTCTAACAAGTTAATCTTGAATTTTCCAACTGAAGATATATATTTTTCAGTAGAAAGAACAGAAACTCCAAATGTAATCCAGCGTCGAATGTGTACTCTAATGTACTGTGTGTGAAAGGGAGTCCGATTCTGCAGTCAGAATCTGATAAAACAGCTTTTGTCCACAATGCCTGTGTTTATCTGCACAGTGAACGGTTTGTAATTTGTATAGTTTTCAGCACGTTGAGAGAAGTTGTGTTTACAGAAAAGATTTCGGTGACCATTGACTTTCGTTATTTGCTATCAACAGTAGCCTCATACCTTCTTTTCATGAAACATACAGAAACAAAACTTGGACTGCAAATATGATCAACTACATCTGGTGTCGGAGCAAATTTATGTTAATGTGTTTTAATTACTAAACCATTCTTTTGAATAGTAGAACTGTTCATAGTGGTGGTGATAGGAACCAGACATCTACCTCTAAAAGCTCCCTCACAAAGTTATTACATGAATAGTTATGAATTCACTGCCTGATGACTGAGGTGTGTTTAACCATACTTAGTTTAACTGAGGTTTAACCATAGTTTTAAGACTAAACCTAGTTTTAAACTCCATTCATGGTGGAGGGATATAGCTGTCAAGCAAAATAGTCCCCAAAGAAAACTTATTTCAGATTTTTTACTGTTTTCCCTTCATCAACATTCCATATAAACTCAGAAGACTCGTCTAGGTTCACTGGTTTTGGATAGTAAATAAAATGTCTATATTTGTGTTGTAGTCATGGCGACCCCTGGTTCCTATCACCACCACTCTAAATAAATCTGAACCATTTCACACCAGTCCAATTTGAATGACTGATAACATTTCAAACACTGTTTATCATTCCTGACTTCTGCAGTGAAGAGAAAGAGAAAGTAACTTACCATCAGACATGTTGATGATCTGAATGGTAAGATAAATCCAACAACACTAAAATTTTCAAGATTAAATCCAAAGCTATGGATGTCTAAGAGTGAGTATTTGCTCTCTGCCTCTTTCAGTAAAGCTGAAAGCTGATATCTTTTCTTTGTCTTCAGTGATTGTGGGAAGCTGCCTGTGCAGTCTTTATTGAGTTTGTCATTGCCACACCTGTTTCCAGAGAAGAGAGCTTTCTTGTGATGTGGGTTGTTGCCTTCGATCTAATACGAGTAGGAGGAGTTAGAGAGGGAAAGGACAAAAAGAATAGATTTTACAGTAAATGAATAGTGAGCTATCATGTAATCTCACAAGAATCTCCTACAGCAATCATCTTTTTAAGAGTGTAGGTTTTGTTCTCGATGCTGTTTCTAAAATAAAACCTTCAGTCACAGTGATGTTACAGTAATGCATATAGAGCACAATCTGTAACCAAAATACTGTGATACACTGATGTAGAGATTCATTTGGTTTTGCTTTAAATGTTTTTCTTATGTCAAAAGCCAATGTCAGCTTCCCTAAGCTAAACAAATAAGAACAATGTTAAGGTTTTGAGCAGCGTAACTCGCCTGTGAGATGCATTACAGAGTGCAGCCTCAGATCATCAACTGATTAGAAACAGCACTGATGGCAGATTTTCACCGCACTTGTCTGTAGTAACTGCTTCACTAATGATGGCTCTCATTTTGTGTAACTGGAGTGGCCAGAGTGCCATGCTTCAGGCCACCCTGGCCACCCTTTGGACTGAGCTGGTGAAGGAGAAATCTTTGGACAGTGAGAATAATCAGGGAAAACCTTCAACAAACTTTAAGATCAAGCTAAAACTGATTAACTCCATCAAACGTAGTATGTCATAGATAAGAACTAGTATCGTGTAAGACCGCTGCAAGCCTGGCAAAGTGCAGGAACTTGACGTGGCACCGATTCCACAAGTGGACAGAAGATGTCTGGAGGGATGTTGAGCCAGGTCATCTGGACAGCCACGCACAGCTCCATGCTATTTGTGGTTTCTGGGTCTCTGGTGTGAATGGACCTCTCAACCACATCTCATAAATGCTTGATTGGGATCATGTTGGGCGAACATCAGAACAGAATGTTACTTGAACTAATGCTGGACAACTTGGGTCCGACGGCATGGTGTATTATCCTGCTGGAATATCGCATCATTGTTGGGGTACATTAAGTCCTTGAAGGGCTGCAAATGGTCATTAAGCAGTTAAACGTAGGTCACCAGTCAATTACGTGTTTTTAGGTGTGCCAGTGGACCCAACCCATTCCATGAGAACACACCCCACACCCATATGGAACCGCCACCAGTCTGCACAGTGCCTTGTTGACAACTGAGTCCAGGGTTTCATGGGGTCTGCGCCACACACAAATCCCACCATCAGCCCAAAACAATTGGTACCATGACTTATCGGACCACGCCGCATGTTGCCAGTCTTCTAGGGTCCACATAGCAACCTCACAAGACCAGGTGAGGCACTGTGTCCGGTGTCATGGTGTTAACAGAGGCACTCTGGTGTGTCTTCTGCCCCAGTATCCCATGGAAGCTAAAGAACGCTAAACTGACCTGTGGGATATGCATGTGGGGTCTCCTGCATCGAATGTGGATGTGATTTCCGCCAGAGTTTTGGCATATCAGTGTATAGATGTCAACAAATCACAAGACTTTATTAAAACGAGGGTCTGAATCATTAACAATGTTTAGATATTACATTAAACAGTTTTGTGCCAAGGACTGTATTCTTCAGAATAACAGTTTGTAGCCATGGGTATAGACCAGAACTACAAGGAATATTCTAGGAATTTACATTTTGTGTTAGATTAGTCCAGTAGATGGTGATGTCTCCTAGCATTCACACCAATCTCAGAAACCATATACAGTGGCTTCCACAAATATTGGCACCCATTTAAAAAAACTGAAATTATGTGAAACATTTAATTGAATTATTTTTTTTTTTACTTTACTACGTCTGTACCATACACTGCACTACATGAATAGGACAAAATATTACAGATTGTTATGAATATTTACTATAGTTTACTACAGGACACTACATCAGTATTATAGACAGCTATAAGACAGCTCTACAGGATTATTATACAGAGGAGAAAATACTATAGATTATAGTAATATTTTAAAGACCTACAGAATCTTACAGTTTCTTATAATATTACTACACCTGTTTTGTAAGTGAAGAAACATTTATGCTATGAACTCCAGAGCAATACAGCTCCTGCATGCTTGTTATTACATTAACAGCAACCTTTAGTGACAAGTGCCAGTGTGTTTCATATAAATGAGATTCAGTGCAAAGATGATATAAGATGATATACTGTGAAAATATATGTGATTTATTTGTAGTTGTTATTGTGCACATTATAACTAATTATTTCATGGTCTCCGATCCAGAGAGAGTGAGGGGCTAGCAAATAGGAGACGCCAGTCAGAGATGCCGGTCCATCTCCTTTTGTTTGCATCTTTTCTCTGAATTGGGGGGTACATCAGGAGTCACAACCCAAATTTTAGAAAAAGCCATTTTGTTCTATCAACAATAATCAAACCACCTTGAAAGCCACAACATTTAATGTCCATTTTACCATTTTGGCTGTAACCATGTCTCAGTATGTGCTGATGTACTAGAATAGACTAAGAATATAAATGAAAACATAGACTTACTTTGCTCTGCTTTAAGCTTTAGCTCAGCTATAGCCGCTTTTCTCACATCTCCAGCAGGAAACATTTCTGCAACAGTGGAATATTTTCTTAAAAATGCTGACGTTTCTCTCAATGCTGAAGTTGAGGCTGAAGTCGCTTCTCATTTGCCAGCTTCTAGTTCAAATTTTCCTGTTCCACCTTAAATGGTGCTTAAAGTGCCAGAATGTAACAGCTGCACCATTTAAGGTGGAACGGGAAAATTCGATCAAGAAGTTGGCGAATGAGAAACTGACTTCAGCTTTGTAACTTTTTAGTGTTTGACAGATTGCAGATTAAACGTATCAGGAAACCAGCTGGAGTGATAAACACAAATAAGTTAATTCGTCTCAAAGTTATCGATGTTTGTCTTAAATCTCTCTCTTTGCCGTTTCGTTAGCTACTAGCTGGGCGAGATTGCTGTCAGTATTGCTATGGTATTGCTATGGTGATCTTCAAGGTCAAAGGGTGAATTAGCAGTTCTACATTAACTCCAGTGTTTAAGACCATTTATTGTTAAACTGTTAGAACGCTGCATGTTGCCGACCCTGTGCTGCTCCAGCTGCTGCACAGATTCAAACTATTTAATCAGAGCCACTGCTTCACCTGCTTTTCTCCTTATCTGTATTTTAATAATTTATACTAATGTTCAAACCATTTCCTCTGTTCATTCTACTCTTGTGTTATTGTTTGCTATCTGGTGTTGACCAGAGGAGGATGGGTTCCCCTTCTAAGTCCTGGTTCCTCTCAAGGTTTCTTTCTCTTGCTCTTGGGGAGATTTTCTTGGCCACTGTCGCCACTGGTGAAGCTCATGGGGGCCTCAGACCCGTATTTTTCTGTTAAGCTTCTTTGCAACAATACCTGTTGTAAAGTGTTATATAAATAAACTTTGACTTCACTTGACCCCTGTCCTAGACTGTGAGGTCCTAACATGCTGATTAGAGCGGTTGAGGGAGTGATTGCCAGATATTAGCTGCAGGGCTAATTGAATCACGGAGTCCTCTGTTGTTTTTAAGGGAACCTTTAAAGCCATTTTTCCCTGAAATGGTGGCCACAATGCTACACTGTTGATTTACTGACTTTAACAAGACAATTTTTTAAAAATTCTGTAACTTTTGCACAAGCCTCTTTTTTTGTTAAACTCAGTAAACATACAGTAACAGTGCAAATGTGTGTTCTCTGTAGAGGATAACTTTATTTCACTTAGAAAATCAACAACAACATGGAAATTGACCAAACTTTTGCACAGATCTGTATATAGATACACATTTGGGCATATTTTTTATGTGAATATAACTATTATTTCCATTTATATACCTAAATATGCATAATTTAGGCTAAAAACAGTCATTTTAGATTTTTTCTCTTATACGTTGCATCAACTGTTGTGGACTCTACACTCTTTTCATGGAATGACATACAGTAAACACAGACTACACCCTTAAAAATGCTTTTAACTCTTAAGGATGGTTGTATGTAGAACCATGAACACCCAAAGAACCATCTTTGCATAGTGAAATGTTTCTTCAGATTAATGGAGAATGTCCTGTGAATGGTTCTATACAACACTGAAAAGGGGGCTTCTATTATTACAAACTTGTCTTCACACCTGTAGAACCTGTTTGGGTGCTTAATAGAACCATTTTTAAAAAGGTTCCATGTAGAATCATATACAACACATTCTCTGTCAATCTGAAGAACCATTTCATTCCATTTTCATACAAAGAGCCGTAAAATTGTGGTCATGTTTCTGTGTAGAACCATTGTTTTAAAGAACCCTTGAAAAAATAACTTTTTAATCTAAAGAAAAATACATCCATTGTACTCACTTAAACTTTCATAACTTATCTTTACATCTGCTTGCTCAACCTTCCTTGAGGTTATGACTTCATACATATAGGCATGTAAGCCAGACACCCACCCACGCAGGCTTTGAGGAACAACATGGAACAGGTCATGTGATGATGAGGAAGAGTCACCTCTGTGTTCTCTTACATGCAAATATTCCAAAGTGCTGAGGCACGACAGACCATCAGCTCCGTGTGCTCTACACATTCAGGCGTGTAGTGGAACCTTCTCAGCCGAGTGGAGGTTAATCATGAAGCACACGTTACTCTGGCTTCACATTCTTATCTCACTACTCTGCGTTAATGTGTCCTTACAAGGTACGTTTCTCTCTTTACTCTCTGTTCATAATTAGTGGAACAAAACTTGTGTTTGCAACAATGAACTTCTGCTTTTTTACCCATTTTAGTTCTCCACTGGATTTCTTAGCCATTGTTTTCAGACATGAAATATGTACTTTGACGACATTCTTGTTTAACTGTGCTGAGTGGATGGCATAGTAAAATAGGCTCATTGTGCTTTACGCAATGTACAAAGCCATAAATGCTGGTTTATCCTGAACGCACTCAGGTGGGCTCTGGGGAAGTGTCACTAAACAGGTGGTTGTTTTGGATGAAAACTCTTTAGTTAGTTAGATATTTGTGTTTTATTGCTTTGCATATCAAACTGAGCTCAGAGAAGCCCTGTTCAGTCAAGTCAGTGTGCTGTGAATGCCGTTATCGATTTTCAATGACTTGAATTTCAAGATTCCACTGAAAAGGAGTGTTCTTGATTCTCTGTGACCTTCATGGAACATTTGAGACATTCCACAGTGACTTCACTGGGTCATTTGGTTTTGTAAACAAGTGGAAAGCACATGGTGTACATTGTAAAAACAAAAAAGATTCTATGTTTTAACTTTAAACAGTAAAAGATAAAAAATGTAAAAATGTAAAAAAAAACAAAAGAAACATGAAATGTAAAAGGCTGCTCTGTTAACTTACCATTACATTCAATGAAATCAAAATTTTAAGGCAACTAAACACTGCAAACGTTTTAGCTAAAAAAGTATGTAAACATGGTTGTCTTAAAACATTGAATTCATTGAATGTAGTATGATGATATTAATGGTAATCTGTGTTTTACATACTATTAACTTATGCTTTGAAGTTTAGTGAGCTCAACATTTTAAGTCAACCAGGTTCACTTACTTTTTTAGTTATAATGTTGAATCATTTTGATATTTTTCTGAATTTGTCTGAGCAAACATACTGCATTGTGCTATTCCATGGTGATTGGCATCCACACAACAATACAAATGAAATGTGAAAAGAAGGAAAAGCCCTTGGAGATGTTTACATCATAAATAAATACACACAAAATATAAACACTACAGTCTTTTTAACTAAAGTCTTCAAAGTCACCGATATCACAACCAAATGAAGTCAGAACTGCTGCAATGTACTACACTGTG